TATCGTTAGTTACCATCGTTAGACCGCACCATCTTCTGTCACAATTAGCGCTTCCTTGTTCGATTCTATAAATTCCAATTTTTTTTTTTTTTAATTATAATCCGTATGCGCCGCCTTCTCTCGTTTTCTTTTTCACTTTCTTCGGAATGGAAACTTAAAGAATTGTTTCGGTTCCAATTTTGCCACTACACATGTTCCGCAGCAAATCAGGGGACCTTTTTTTTATTCACTTTCTTCACTTCTTTTATTAGTTCCATTAGTTTCATTAGTTCCATTTCCTGCGTTTCCTGCATTTTTTTCTTTCGTTCGTTCCACTTTGCTTAACTGGACACAGAGTTGTGCACGAAAGAATCGCCACATAATGTTTGTTTTTTTTCCCTGAACTGGCTGCACTAGTTGACAGTCTATCTTTGTCTTTCTAACATGGATAAAAAAAGATAGACTGTGAACTAGTGCAGCCAATTCAGGGGAAAAAAACAAACCTATAGTAACGACAAGAGCAGATTTACGTTTCGCTCTGGCGGCAAAGTCTGTAAAGTCACGTTGTCTTAATGTGAATATGTGAACCTAGGTTTTCGAGATTTCGGACTTTAAGGCAGTACTGGATACCGACTATAGAGACCTGTAAACCGACGTTTTTATAACCTAAATTTTTTTATTTTTTAATTTTATTTACTGCACAACATTAAAAGCGCTTCTACAGAAGCAAATAAATATACAAAACTATATAAAGCTTTTGAAAATGGGTATATAATGCATTTTTGAATTTGTTTTTTATTCATAATGATAGTATATGATATCAAATACACATCATCACGAATTCGGATTTTTCTCATCAATGAAATAGTCAAATCATAATTTGAATAGCTCATTCGATTCGTTTTTGTCGTATGTTGGGCGCTAATTCACTGGAAATACTTACATAAGCTTAAAAATAATTCTACATACATGAATATATAGTGAGGTTATAGAAGGAAACTGTATAAGAAAAAATTTGTGCTGAATTTTGACATTCCAAAAAACAAGCGCCAATTCTTAGCACAATTTACTTATTTCTGGAGAAGCATTTTGGATTTGATGCAGTAAATACGACACAGAATCTGATTTAAGAACGTCGATTTACAGGTCGCTATAGTCGGTATCCAGTACCCTCTTAAACCAAGATATCTCCGTTGGGAAGGCATGGAAGAAAAAAACCGCAAAATACTTTTTTTCGTGCCTCGATCTCAACGTTCGATTGAGTCTAGCTCGAACTCGATCAACGGTTTAACCGTTGCTGAGATCTAAAAATCTCAAAAGTCTCGATCGGTCCAACTCGCGTAAATGAGGCACGGGGTAGCCTCGCGCAGCGCGCGCACACTTCGTTGGCGCGTATATTTGACGCGAGGCATTACCGTGCTTTTCTTTGATAAATTCACTCGCTCGGGAAACTGATTAATCGCGTTCGAGGGGATCGGGTCATTAGTCTTATCCCCGTAACTAATGACTCAATCTCGGTCGGTCCTTTCTCGACTACGGATTTATCGACCTGTGGATCGTACGATCGGATATTTCTACGGGGGCGTAAAGGGAATGTAAATTCGTGGCCTCCTCGAGAAACGCGCTTCTCGAATCAGAGCGATGCGATCTTATCGCGAACGCGCACAGCTCTCTTTTGAACGCGACTCGTTTTCGCGAGAGGAAACGCTTTCGTTTTGAGATATCGGATTAACAACGACCTGATTTTGCGCGCGGATCAAAGATGGTGGATTTATCACCTTGAGATAAAGAAGAGGTCCTGGGGTTAAGGTCACTTGCGTCAATTACGTTCGCGAGCGCGCGTTGAAATTTGTCTCTCGTTCACTCGAGATTCAATGAGAGATGTCCGTGCGTGTTCGAGCGAACGAAGTGCGTTAAACATCGTTCATTATGTTCGCGCGCCGTGTGTGTGTTTGTGTGTGTGTGCGCGCGCATGTATGTATATTACATTTGTACAACCGAAAAGTTTATAAAAGCCGAACAGAGACGAATTTCCTGCTCTCCTCGTTTCATTCTATTTCGCTTAGCAAACGTGAAATAGTAATTCGGGCTTTTATTAACGCGAGACGACTCTTGAATTGGCATGTTTATTCGCAAATTTGATACGTTTCTTGCTTCCGACGTCTACGAGATAATTAATTATTGCATTGTAGAGAACACGACGTAATTTCCGTGTCTGGAAACGCGATATTTCGGATAAAAGACAAATAACGTTAATGAAGGAAACTTGAATCAAAAGCTTTGAGAGATATCCGATAGATTTTACATGTCATTTGATTCTTATTGTACTTCTTTGTAATAATTTCGAAGATAAAATACCCACACACAGTGCAACGAAACTTAATAAAATAATTTTGCATACGCAGTTAGAAAAACTATATGACCAAAAAGAAAAAGAAATGTATCGACAAAAGTGTATGTAGCTGAAAAAGCAGAAAATATACAACTGAAGTATATTCACGAGGATAAAGTTCGAAGAAGATGGCACCTTAAAATTTTTTCCGATGTGAAGACTTTCGCGAATGACGCGATCTCCGTCGTTTTCGGAGTACTGCTTTTTCGTCGCGCGCATCGAGTTATCCCAATTTATCTCAATCGCAAATATAACCGAGTTACCGATTTATCAAATATACACGCCGGGGGGGGGGGGGAAGAAATATGTAGAATATCGAGTTGAAAATATCCAGGCGAAGTTTCTCGTTTATATTCGCAAACAAACAGATGAAAACTAATGTTAAGTGAAAATAAGTAATTAAAATTGTGTAATGTAAACAGACCGTAATATTACACACGCTAAGTGCTGCAGCAGTTTTCTCATGGAGTTTTCATCGCGGATGAAAATTGTAACAAATAGAGGAAAACTGGATAAACAAGTTATAAAATATCCCTGGAGCGTGTGTGCGAGCCAGCATTTTGAGAAAATTAAACTGGAATTATTTATCACGCGAAAAAAGTAAATAATAATAACAATGATACAATGAGTGACATTATCTGGTTCAGTGTGGAAATCGAAAAAAAAAAAAAAAAAATGAGATAATTATGACGGCGTTACTGAAATGGATGGCTGGGTGATTTGCCGAGCAAATAATTCAATTTACAAAGAAGTAATCCCAAACGTTTCGATTTTATGTAAAATCATCATCAGTGGGTGGAAACTTAAAATGACTTTCACATCCGCATGTCACATTGACGATATTGACAACTAGAGAGACTAGTTGTTTTGCTGAAAGTTACGTCAATATCTTTTTTTTTTAATAATACTAATCTGACTGAAAACAACGCGAATGATACACAAGTGTTGTTTTACAGTTTTGCTTACGTAGAATGTTTTCAAATTATCGATACTGGTTTTTGTTTTTCAACGGCGTCGTACGTATATAGCAACAAGGTCCAAACTTGTGGGACTGAAACGTCTGTAAATTGAATAAAGACTACTTTTTATACACGACCAACCTGTATTTTACTGCTTGTATCGGCCTTTTAACTCATTTGATTATTTCACGAGCGATTGATTGATTAAAAACATTCACATCCTGCCATGAACCAATTTAAATAGACATGGCTCTTGCTTGTGGAAGATCTGTTGTTACGTTAAAGATAGAAACTCTTGAAACTTTTATTTGTTTAAATTCTAAAAATTTTGGGCATATATTATTTAGAATAGAAATGATTATTAATAATTAAATATATATTATTTAAAACAATACTTAAAGCGACATTTTGCAAACATATAATGACGTAGTGCGTTGAATACTTTGAATTAATAATGGATATAAGTTTTACACACTGTAAATCTTCTATCTTCTCATCTTTGATCAAATACGGAACCCATGGGTGTTTTCTTAGAATTTGTAAAACTCCAATTACTTAGATATCAAGATTGTACACATTCTATGTTTTCGTTCATTTACATTGTATCGTATCATTGTATACACGAGTATTCTTAAACTCTACAATAAACGTTTAAAGTTTAGCGTGTCTACGGAAAGCGTATATAATCTCGAAAACAATGACAAGACATAGAATGTTTAGATGAACTTCATATAAAGATATTGGTTAAAAGTAAAATAGACTTTATTTATAAAGAAGTTTGTAATCGTGTATTTATATAAATAAAAGGAGAACAACGTGATAAGAATAGTCAGGATACAACGTCAAAAATTTACTTACAAAGTTATGAAAATGATCAGGATTTTGGTATAGTGTAAGAATGTAAGAATTTATGCGATTCATTTACGATTACCTTGTCCAAAAAATTGATGGTCCGCTTTAATTGAATGTGCATTTCACACAAGTACTCCGCAGTCGTCTCCTGAGAGACATATATAACGTCTCTGACTTACTTTATAATCAAATTGTCCTAAATCTCCACGTAAAAGAATTACTTTTCCACAAGTGTGGAATATCTGGGTAGCGAAAAATATATAAAACCTTAAACATCATTTGCCTTCTTATTAAATAAATTCCACGCTCACAGTTGATGTTAATAAGCAGTAACGAAGTTCATCAGAAAATAATTGAATCAAAATAAATAGTGAAATTAATCAAATATTTTATATCTGCATATATACTTTCTTACATTCTTACTACATGTATACGTTATCACAAAACACAAGCACAGTAAATAAATTATCGCGATTTTCTATGTGCACCGTGCACTTTTAATCGTGACCGTAGTAAACAAAATCGCTTGTATAATGATTTCACAGAGTAATTACAGCGTAGATGGTATATTGCACATGACATAAACTTGCAAAATAAATATTTTCTGTTTATCCGATCAAGAAGAAAAAAAAGCCACCAACACAAAAAATTATTTTCTTCCCAGTAAACAATTTGTTCGCAATTTGCCAGCAAATTGTCAGCAATTTTAAGCAAAAATATTCAACAAATTGGCATCAACTGTGTCCGCATTTGGCTTCGATTTTGTTGCCAAAGCTTGTCGACAAAAAGTAACAGCAAATTGCTACCAAAAACCGAGCAAAGCTTGATAACATAACTTGAGACCAAATTGACGCCAAATATGAAGCAAGATCTGCGCAACACGATTTGATAGCAAAATGACATTTATAATA